CATCTGGAGAGGATTAACGATACAACAATGATTAGTGCTGGGTGATTAAAATCTATTACCTGTGTTCATTAGTATTCCATAAAATAAACTTTTAATCAAAATTATGATTAAATCAATAATATCAAAAAATAATCAACTAATGTTTCAGTTATTGTATTTGATTATTCCAATTATTAAGTAATCAAAAATTAACATTTAAGTCATTCAATGTCATAAAAATAATCAACTAACTGGAATAAAAATTTTTGGTTATTCCAACTACACAAGTAATTGAAATATTGACAAGGCTTAAGAATGGGCTATCTATACTCTGTCCATTGCGAGTATTGAAATCCCATTTGTAGCATTATAAGTTGTTTTGTTTTAGTGAACTTGTGTAAGAATAATCCTTTTTTATTTAGCCATCTCATGATTCATTAAACATATGTAACTGGGCAATAGAAAACAAATAATAGAGATGATAAATTTCTGTTATAAGATTCTCAAAAATGAGAGATTACGTTTGGATAATTAATGTCATTTCTTTTGCCACTTAAAAAATAATTTGATGTAATTTTAGAGATTAACTAAAACCAGTGTAATACAATTTTTACTTTATATGTAGTTTTGTGTTGTTTGAAGCACTAGTATTCATATCATCAGTTTAATAATGTACCAAAATCCTTGCATGTAACTAGGACTCATCACAATAATAGTATGATTTTGTTCCCTTCATTTTTTTTAATGGTACTGAACATTACCACTCATTTTATTATAATATTCCTAAGCGGGAAAACAGAATGTTTCGTTTACACAACAAAATTATATTAATGAAGTCACGCATAGTAATTTTGCTTTCATTTTCTTTAGGTTTCTTGGATATGTTGACAAACTAGGAACAGCGTTTGAAGCACCAACTATTGCAACAGGCTATGGAGCTTATATAGCACAGGTAAGGATAAAAATTTAAGCAAGAGATTGTGACAGTTTTGTTTTCACACTATTGTTTGTTTTGTAACCATATTAGCCAAATGTTTCAAAAACTTGTGTTCTTAATTACAGTAGAACCTCAACATTAAGGGCACCCTTCCGACTGCATCCAAATTCCTTCTATAGCAAGGTGCCCTTAATGACAAAAATGAGCCATGCAAAGCTGGATTCCATATTGATTGTACTAAGTTTCTGATCTTTAAGGCCCCCCATTTTGTATATGTAGGACATTGGTGTTCATGAGTTGCATGTTGCCATGACATGGAGTGTTGTCAACAGGTCTTATGAGGTGGATTAGCTATGCCATTTTTTCTTTATTATTGGTAACAAAGTTTCAAAGTGCTTCTCTTAAGAGTTTGAACTGCTAAACATTTATTTTCTGTTTATTTTACTGTCAATGACTGAAGTAGAAATCTGCTGAAAATAAAGCAGTAAGTCACTGCTTGTGTCATTAGACCGTTTAGGTGACACCGTAATATGATATTCTCGAGAGCAACAAAGCATGCACACAGAAATAGTAGGCTTGACCCATGCTCCGACAACACGATGTGGAATTGATCAGCTTATGTATCTTACAGTGTTTACAACAAGAATTTCCCAGAGTAATAAGATTGCTATGAAAACATTTATTAGTTTATTACAGTAAATGGTTCATAGCTTATCAAATGAACATCGCAAGTGTTTGAATATTATTCATCCTTCTGGGATGCTTGGAATTTAGCAGTATGCCATACATGTATGCAAAGATAACTGCTCACTTTATTGAGTGCCTATATAGACAGTGAGACTGAAGACACTGCCATTAATTCTGAATATCAAGGAGCTCATTATTGCAAAATTTATTTTGGTTATAAATAGAAGAAATAAGAAAGAGACTGAAAATGTCTGCACTTAATGGCTCAGTGCCTGTTTTTCAAGGTGTCTATTAATCAATGTTCTATTATACATAACAATATGTGTCATAGTTTTTTAAAAAGAATTTCAAACTAATAAGTATTTCTCATTTAAGTGTAGGTCTTGAATAAATCAAATTAAGAAATATCAGAAACACTCATGCAGTTAGAAAAGTGGGTGATTCGGCAGTAAATTTGATGAACTTTCATTTTCAATATTATGTTCTCACAAAGTGAGAGAAAATTACATATATCTCAGATGTATAATCAAAACTAGTTTACAATAAAGGGTGTTTAATACAAAGAATTTAAAAACAGACATTTTAGCCATGAACAATATTTTTTTCTGTCATTTATGGTTTCTTTTTTTGATCATAAGTTTCAAATGATAGGTTTACAGAACACTTTTGATAGATATATAATAACTTCATTTACGAAATTAGATGTGTGCTATTTAAAAAAGAAAACAATCAGGCATGCTTAGTTTCGATAATCTCAGGTAAAGAGTTATAAAAATGTCTGTTAGTAGTATCCATTTATGCATATGATTTTTTGGTTACATATTTCGACCAGATTTTATCTGTTAAAAGCAATGTAGATTTAACCACAGCCACATTCTGTTTGTGTCTGAAATCTAGGTGTTGTTTGTCTTTTTACAAGTTGGTAAAGAGTTTTAAGGTATTGGTCGTTATGATGTTGATATTACGTTGAAAGCCAGAACATATCAAAGTTTATGAAATCATTTAACTATAATTTTGATAAACATTTTATGCAAGAGAGATTATATCTTTTCACATAAGAATAGATAATTCACAGAATTTCCTGGGCAGGTGTTAACTGACTTAAAATAATTAGTTCTGCTATTATGTTTAATGTTAATATATCTTTCACAGGGAACTCAAATCCAGTTGTGTGCTAACACTATATAACCATCATCAGTTCAACTTAAGTTTGGTATAGATTTGCATATAGTGGTGGGACTTAAGCTATACAAAGTTGACATGGTTATGCAAGAAAAATAATACAAACGTGGTATCACATGTTACTAGGAGGTTATTACCAGACCCACACAGGATACGTGGGTGCCAATTTTTGACAGAAAAGTGCAGAGTACACTTAAGTACATAGAAAATATAGAAAAGTAGAGTTCCCATAGAGCTCAATGGATTCAGATTATACACAGAATTAGAGTATTGCCTATAGTCACACTGTAACAAATAAAAAAGCACTAGCATAATTATCCATTCTGATATGATATCTTACCTCCTCTCACAAAAAGCTTTCCTCGATTTATACTGCCCTCTATCAGTGAAATTTTCTCTCATCACTTGCCTTGATACTCCCACTTACTCTCATGTATGTTAACGTGAGATATCTGCATACTAACATGCAAATGATTATGCAGAACCCCCCAACAATAGGACTGACTATAATAACTAGTGCCCTCTCTAATCTTGCAGCTGTTAACCACTTCGAAATTAGTCAGATCAAACCAAACCATCTTGGAAGTAGGGAGGATGGGTGGGAAATGTGAGAGGACGTAAGTATCTATCGAAAATACATTTTAAGTTTAGGAAAATGTTAACTTCTGAAATGATATCTTATCTCTGCTCAGAAAAAGCTAGAATCCTACACTGAACAGCTGGAAGGCCAGTGAGAAGAAGAAATACTTTATCAGTTTAGGAAAATGTTAATGTTTCATAGTCGTGCATTTGCAGTGTTCGTTGCTGTGACAGTTGAATTTCTTGTTACACTTGTGCACAGACTGATACTTGCCAATATATTATTTTTCATACCCAATATATTATTTTCTGTGTGGTCCCAACAGTCTAGGTCTCTGGTGGTAGAGTCATGGTTTTGGGCATTTTTCCTGGCATATCTTGAGCCCATTGGTCCCTTTAGAATGTAGAATGAGTTCCGCAGCTTACCTCAGCATCATTTTTGATCAGGTAAATTCAATAATGTTTTGTGTGTACCTGATAAAGACAGCTACTTTCAAGACAACAATGTTTCTATTCACTATGCCTAAATTGTGCATGCATGTTTTGAGGAACATTTTGGAGACTTCTGCCATCTCCCATGGCTACCACAATCCCCAGATTTCAATCCAGTTGAATATCTATTGAATGAACATGGATGAAACGTTAGTATAGTATCTCATCTGCCTACCTCATTCCATGAATTGCATACAATATTAATAATGAATGAGGGAAAAGAATCCCTTAGGACACCTCTCATGCCCACCTTGTGGATTCTGTGTCACAAAATGTAATGATTGTTATTTGGGCAAAAGGTGACCCCAACATTATTAGGTATAGTTCCTAACAAGGTGTGCAGAACTTGTATAAATAGCATTCATAAAAACTAAAAATGTTTGTCATGGAACACTTACATTGAAAACACTTGTCTGTCTGTTTTGCTTTAATGTTTCTCTGGAACCTTAAATAGATAAACATGGCTATCTGTATTCTATTTAAACTTTTTTTCCCACCCAGTAGCATACTGTCATAAAAATATATGTAATTATATATATATAATTACTTATATATGTAATTATGTCTCCATGTGTTATATTCTTCAGTAACAGTTCATGAAATGGAAGTGTTTAAGAAGCCCATCATCAAATGATGGCATAAGTTTCTAAACAAAAAAAAGTTAATGTTTCAGTTGTTTTTTATGATTAGGGCTAAGAAACAAAGAAGACTACATCATCCTTTTCTTTTGTTGAAATATGATAGGGTTGCAAAACAAAATGGTTATTGAGGGCAACAATTGTACAAATGCTCTGTATATTGGATGTGTTATTGACATTAAATTTGCACTGTATTCAGTTCTATTTCTTGTGGCAGTAAATTACATTACTGTAATGTTGTAGCCAGTTGAGTAGTGTTATGATAAAGTGTTTTTTTTTGTTGCAGCCTCTTTTACGAGATCACTGGGAAAAGAACAAGGGAAAACAAACAGTAGAAGAGGCACGGAATCTAATACTTTCATGCTTAAGGATTCTGTTTTATCGTGATGCACGTTCCCTTGATAAAGTATGTCTATTTCTTATTTTTAAATATATAAACTGAGATGAAAAACATTCACATTTCAGTGGAATCATTCCAATTTCTAATCCCAGATTATGGCATTGCAATCATACCCTTTAATTTACATTTATATATATCTGTGTGTGTGTGTGTATTTATCTTATGGTTTTAATATAATACAACTCAGTAAGTTTGTTTTGGGGGTTATATGAAATAACACAAGTTGAAATCATAGTCATTTAAGCATTTGTAATTCTGTAGCTGTTCTGAAACCAGACTCGGATGCTTTTATAATACTGAATAAAACTTCAGCCATTCAGGAATCATATTGATAGTTAACCTATCTAGATTTTGAGACATGTATATATTAATTTGATAAGTAAGATGTTGAAATAAAAACCAAGAATGTATGTCCAAAAACAGCATTGGAGAAAGATTTTCATATCTAGACACTACCGTTACAACAAAATGCATTGAAACAAAATAGATTAAACATTTATGTAGAAGTTTTCTACTCCAATGATACCTATTAGCCCTATTAAAAGGCTTAGCAACCTATGTCAAGCAGCAACCGAGTACAAAGATCATAACAAGAAGAGACAATTGTTTGCTTTACTTCTTCACTTACTGTTCTATGTTTAAGAACTTGTTTGTAAGTAGTAATAATCTATATAGATATATAATTTATAATAATTGAAATGTGACTGTATTTTACAAAATACCAGTCCACTAAAACACAGTGAAGACAAGCTAATTTGTAAAGACTAAATGTCAGTTTTATAATATTGGATACAGTAACATGAGTGCACGTGCACTGCATCATTGTGACTTCTGTATTGTTAGCCAGGTACGACTATAAATTTATAATGTTATGAGATTTAAATTTTTTATACTAAACATTTGTGTTTTCGTGTTATAATCTGTAGTCATTGTAGAACGAAAAAACATAATTTATATTTTTTTCCTAATTTTGTATGGTGGTTATGAGGTCAATCAAATTGACAGACCCCCATGTAGTTGAAGTAGAGAAAATAACTGACAAAATATAAAGTTTTACTGAAAACGAACATTTGAAATGTACTTAGAAGATTTTATAGATTACACAAATAATATTTGAGATTTTTTGGAACGAAGAATAGTATTTTAATAATGACATGAAAATTATTTTGCATTCAGACTAGTAATGAAACAGACTCGATATTTTCACAAACAATTGTTTAGTGAAAATATTTCATTAAAAAAATCTGATTTCTTGTGTACAAAAGACTTTGAATCATTACTAAATGTCTACCAACTTGTGTGAAGATACATGTACAGCATTAAAATGTGTGCAAATGTGTATACGAACTTGAGTATTTTATACTGAGCCTATCCTGAAAGAGTTAAAGTAAAGGTGAAAATAAACAAAAAATTAAACACAACAATTTCAGTATAAGATGAAATTGCATTCTGATACAGAACTCTGACAACCCTAACATCAAAGTACCACAAAAATAAGGAACACAAAGAAAAAAAACTACAAAATAACAAATTTCATGTAAGTTTAATAGCTTAGACCATGATCTAAATTAAATGTGAAAATAATGAAAAAGATCAAGCACAACAATTAAAAGTAATGTCCTGATATGAAACTCTCGCCAAGTATGGTTGCTATAGATACCTAAGTGAAAACCATGCATTTTGTATGTTTTACACTGTGGACTTAAGCACTGTTCATGTTAGGAAAACAAATGCATAACTTAAATCATTACTTTGTGCTCAGATTCTGATTCTTTTTAGGATGCCAGTTAACATCAATTAAGGCTCATATGTCTGTGTAAATGAATAAAGGTGTTATTTTAAGTAATGCAAAAGTATGTGTGTCCATTTGTTTTTGTTTTTTTGTCAACTCTTTGATAAGGTCCGGTTATCCTTAAGATAAGCCAAAGCTCAAAATAAAAATATAAATCAAAAGTTTAATCATTATAAAACATATCTGTAATTTTCATTGCATGAAACATGACTTAATTTTTATTTCAGTAGCTGAGACATAATCTTCAGACATCCAGATATATTATTGTTTTGTTTTTGTTGTTGTTTTTGATCTTTTGAATTTTTGTTAAAAATAAAAAAAAATTTTTACAAACTTATTTTGTTTGGAATTCTGCTTACTGAGTAGATGGTACCAGTAGGTATGTTTTTTAAGAGTGTATAGTTTAGTGTAGTTTCAACATTTGGGTAATTATGTGGCTCAGGATCCAGAAGTCTGCTTATTAACAGATAAGTACAATAAATTGCTCATTATAAGTAAGATATTGTTAAGTGAAATATATGAGTGCTTTGTTCCAAACAATATTTTATGGTTACAAGTTCTCAAAAGTTGAAAGTGTTCTTAACATTTTAGTGCTTAAATCATGGTAATGAAATATCTCTGTTGTTTCTTAAGCATATTAACTTTTCACATTCCTAGAGAATTTTATGTATGTTTTATTTCATGTTTGAATAGAATTGTTTAACATTTGTTTAACAACAAGTAAAAGCATGAAATGGTCTATTCTTTCATTGGGGCATAATCAGTGTCAGCTACAAATACGAAGAATTAAATTGTGGCAGAATGCTACAAGTTCTTCAAATATCTATAGAATGATAGGTTTCTTTTTTGTGAGTGTAAATCACTTAAATACACCATTTCGATTTTCATGTTTGTTGTGTATGAAACTGTTAAGTACAAAATGTACCTGAGGCATTAAACTTTTAATATAAAAATTTCAGTTAAAAAATTTTGAACTTAAATTAAGGTAAACATTTAAAGCTGTTTTACAAACGACAGGAGTAAGGTCACATAGGAGTAAGAATGACATTTCTTATGTTAATCATACAGAGTTAAAATAACTAACAAGCTTTCCTCAGCTTAACACGCACTAACCCTAATAAGTGTACAATATGTATCTACAGAGGATGTAACTTATTAATTTTAAATAGATGATTTCATCCTGAAATTGAAACAGTTGAAAGACCTGTTATCATGAACTACAATAGTGGTTCATAATAGGGATTGTAAGGAATTGCACAAAACCCTAATAGAACTTTGGAAAAATAACACCTTAAATAATACAGATACTGTTGAAACAACACTTTAAAACATTTACTATTGACTTCTAAGGCTGTACATATATAAAAATGCATAAAATACACACATGTTAGACTTATATAGAGAGAATTTAGTTACATGGAAACTATAAATGCTCTATATTCTCAAACAAATCTCCAGATGCAGTTCAACATTTTACACTTCCAACTAATGCGATCAAATAATCAATAGTTACAGTAAATCATCATGAACCATATCAGCTATTTACTAGCTATGTTTATTATCATTACAATGTATAAAGTTAGGTACCATATCAAGTAATCCTTTTTCCGTAGTTGAGGGGAAAAAAAGCCAACAAGATAAATAAAAAATTCTGAATTTAGAAACCTGCAAATAGGGATCATAAAAAAGTAAAGAAATAAGGCTGGAGGTACTATAGACATTATTTACTCAAACTACAAATCCATATTTTGATTCCACCAAATGTAATTCTAGGTAACAGCATGTAGCCAAAACAGGGTTTGTAGTTTGAGTAAATAATGTCTACAGTACCTCCAGTCTTGTTTCCTTGTTTTTTTATGATTCCTATTTGTAGGTTTTTAAATTCCTAATTTTTTATTTATCTTATTATAAAATCTATGATATTTAATTTAATATGATGAATAAAATTACACCTGGTTAAACTTGCAAACTCTGAATTTTTCTGTTAAAGTGACTCAGTTGCCAAATATGTTTGATTCTTGTACTTTATACACTTTGTGTATTATGTGAGGTCATAAGCTCTGTCTAAGACATTAGCTTTCTAAAATCCAAAATGATTATCAGTTGAATATTTTATTTTTATTTTTTGAGTAACAAAACATATCATTAATCGGGGTTTGCTTATTCATTTATTAGTCCATTCTAATTGTAGTTTTGCTGAGAAATGTCATACCCAGGTTCATACCGCTATTAGTTTAGATCTTGAACTCTAGGAGCATCTTATTGATAGTATGTGATATTAACTCTTCATAGTCTCATTCTAATTCGATGACGAGGAACCCACTTTGAGAATAATAATGGCTGAAGATGGCTTGAATGAGTAATGAAGAAAAACTTTAATATAAGTTTAACATAACAGCAAATTTACAACGTTTCGACAAGGTACCAAGTTTTTCTTCATTACCCATTCAAGCCATCTCCAGCCATTAATAGTCTCATTCTGTTCAATAATAGTGGTATTCCTGTTAAATATTTTACCTGAAAAGATTACTGGACCTTATGTCTATTCAGCTCTGTGTATGGGCTCAATCATTTTAACCGACTTTATAACCATGAAACTATACATACTATAATTGTGATTGTACTAAGTGTGTCTTTGTGACATTTGACAAATGTTTAGTAAACATTTCAAGTCTGTTTAACACAAAAAACTACTAAAGATTTGTCTGGAAATTTATGAAGCCTTTAACGAGTCATTCTGAGTGAAAGGTAATATTCATGTTAAGACAGCGAGTTATGATTTGTGGTAAAAAGCATGAGCACAATAAGTTACAAAATGATTTTTAGCTTTAGTCTCAGTTCCGTGACCACATTAAAAGTGGTAAGATACATTACTCCACCTGTCAATATGATTGTTGATTGCATATATGGCACCTTTGGAAGAGTCTGTACTTGTAAGCAGCATGGATATGTTTTGATATTTTAAACATTTCAGAATAGGTTTTTGATTATTTTTAGCTGTCCAATTTGTATAGTCAATCCAAAGGGAAAATCCATTACTTAAGAAGTTTGTTGTGACATAAAAGACAGTTTAATTTAAATATTATTGATTAATTTATTTTTGTGAGTGAATATTGTATTATTGTTTAGTTTTTGTTTTACTAAGAGTTAAAAGCAAACGATTGTAGGAAATTTTGTTAATAATTCATTGATGTTGAGACTATCGAACATCACA